TTACCGTAGAAAGAAATATAAAAATCCCAAACCTTCGAAGTAGTGAAGAGCCCAGGATCAATCCAAGCCCCTGTCAAAAAAGCTAAAATGCCAGGTTGGTTCTTTTTAATGCCGTCGCTCCAGCGATCACATACGGGTAGTTCTCTAAATTAGGATCCCTTCTTAAGTCTTAAAAATGATACAGCGCCCACTTTTGCAAAAGGACCTACAAGAGATCCCAATTTGGAGAACCATCCACAGATCAATCTCAGAGAACCGAGGCAGCGGTACGTTCACCCCTCCACCGATGGCTGTCGCAAATTGGAGGAACGACTGTTGATGATATAAATCTTGCTCCTGCATTACCCTTAATCAGGAATATACCACTATTCCCATGGTTTGGGTCCTTAAGGTAATGCAGGATTTATATCATCAACAGAGGACAGCCAGTCAAAACCCAGAAAGTCCGCTGAAAACGTGGCACCCTCACCCTAAACCCGATCATCGCCGAGCACGACCCTTCGCAAGCGGTCCAGGGCCAGGCTGAAGGCAAACAGTGCATGGGCTTTAGGGGTTTAGGGTTTAGGGCATTATGTGCGAATTGTAAATGCAGAGAATCTCACGAGTCACCGAGGCCTCAAGCCTGGACGCGCTAAAGCTGCTCTGCATGGAAGCTTCGGGAGAAGCCTGATACAGGCTGGCCTTCACTGATGTCCTTCACCTTGCCACGGAGCTTGTTGTAGAACTCCTGTCTCACACCACAAATTATGCCCAAGAACTTTGTCGGCTTTAGGAAACGGGGTGCTGGGGGTGGGGATGCTCCTACTCTTTTTGCTTGAATGCCTGGGGCGCAGTCACGGGACGCAAAGAGAAACGGAGAAACACATGGCAGGCACAGTCTTTTTGAGTGATCGTGGGAGCACTGTGTCAAACTGGGATGCAAAACTAGACCCCAAACCCCAAAGTAACTGTAACGAATAACGATAAAACAAACTCTTATAGGCCTAAACACCCAAGCACAGGGTTTGTGGTCTACCGAAGCCCAAAGGAGCGCTGGGACGGATGCATGTTACTCGATATTCAGGATGTCGGATTTCAAGTTTTTGGGTTTGAGGTTCAAGGACTATGCGTGCATTGATGATACCCAAAAAATCCAAGCCAAGAGATCCATGCCAGACTCAAAGCCCGAGGCCCTAAACTACTACACACTCAACGCCAAACCCTAACCCCCCCAAACCCTAAACCTACTTCCCTGAATCCTGAACCCTAAACCCCAAAACCCTAAACCCCAAAACCCTAAACCCTAAACCCCTAAACCCTAAACCCCTAAACCCTAAACTCGAAGCCCCCAAAACCCTACACCTACTTCCCTAAACCCCTAAACCCCAAAACCCCAAAACCCTAAACCCCAAAACCCCCCCAAAAAAGCGTAAACCCACTTCCCTCAGTCTCGACCCTGGGGCTCCAAGCATACAAATTTTGACAACCACCCATATCGTCCCCCAGATCCTAAATTACGATTATCATTACGATTATTACTATTATTGCTATTACTACTATTACTACTATTATTACTAATATTACTATTATTAAATAGTACCTACTTTGGGGCCTAAAGTCTATAAATCATACCTACTTTGGGCTATTTGGGAGCTTCCGAAAATTCGGGGCACCATATTTTTGGGGTCCTTATAATAAGGGATCCTACTAGTTAGGGTACTGTATTATTAGGGTCCCCTATTGTCGGAAACTCCCATTTGGAGCGCCAGGGTGAATCTGACAGACCCTGTCGGTGCCATCGTCCTGTGTCTCAGTCCCTGGCTCACCAAGCTTCACCTGGCGTGTGCTTAAGGGAGGGACCCCTGAGTGATCAGAAGACGGTTGGTTTAGAGTCGCGGGTATTGGGTTTAGGGTGGAGAATATTGTAGCATGAACAACTTAAATGTAGTTACGAATAGTTATCAACGGAATAAACTAAACCATAAGGAGATATGGTTACTGAGTAAACCTTCCTTCCAAAGTCAGTGGGTTTGGGATGAACGAAGGGTTTAGGTGCTTTCTTTCGGGCCGGATAGCTTGCACAAATGTTCGTAAACAGTTTGATCGAAAGAAACATTCACTGGTGGACCGTGCGCATCTATCCAGCCCTCAACTTGCATACTCTGTAGCTGAAGGACTCCGATGTCATATAAACTCCCGATAGTGAAACATCTCGTGTTTAACAAGGGGAGAAATGTGCATGTACATGCATGTCTATCTGTGTGTATATATATATATGTGTATATATAGGTGTTTATATTTATATACACATGTACACAACACTATAAGAATATACACACATCATTATACACGCACATATCTCAATATACATACACATAGACAATAGACTATACATGTATGTTACAAACACATCTACATGTGCATATATATATACAACATGCAAGCACACAGACTAGAGACATACACAATTTTTTCTCACCTTGAGGTTGAATGCAAGCATTTTGATTTTTCGAATGCCCGGCAATAAACAGCGGTATCACCAAGCCGAAACCCTAAACCAGAACCTCTAAACCCCTAAACCCTAAATCGAACAAAGCCCAGGCACTTGCATCATCAAGGGCGGCTCATTGAAGACATGGTTGGGGAAGAACTCCTTACTTGCACGGTTAGGGTTCGGTGTTTAGGGGTTTGGGCTTTAGTGTTTAGGGTTCTCCAAAGAACAGCAGGCTTTACAAGTCAACCTTCAAGATCCTCTTCAAGCCCTGAACCTTTGAACCCGAAACACCAAAGCCAATACTATCCCAAAAAGGGTTTAGGGTTTAAGGTTTTCACGCCAGTGACGTTCCTAAATCCTAGCTATCTGTGTTTGTTTCCTCCGTTCGGATAGCATTTGTTCCGGAGATGCTAAAGCTTGTCTAGGTTGGACTACAGTTCACAGCGTCGCCTATAATGGGGAGGGACCCTTCATATCGTGAGCCGTATGTAAGAGGGTTGGCAGGCTGGAAGGTTAATGTTCAATAACTACCCACAGGCTCCATAGTAGTTCCTTTTGGGGGTTCATATGTAGAATCTTATAAGGTAATCCCAAAAAGGAACTACTATGGAGCCTATGGGTAACTACTTAATCTGTATCGAAGCTTGCTCTCCGTCTCAGTCACTTTTGCACTTTTGCTCTATGTTTGATCTTTCTCTCTCGCTGTCTGATGACCCCAGGGATTGCAAGAAGCATAGGGGCGCAGGGCTGCGAATGGACAGCAGATTGCAAGAGCCACAGGAATGTAATGTATGGGCCTTAATAATTAGAATAGTTGAATAGCGTTCTGGGGCCCATTATACAATATACAATAACTATAATAAGGAACCCCCCCAAAATAGTAAAGGTATTTATTTAGGCCCCTATCGTAGGGTGCAGGGACTGCAGGGGGACTGTAAGCTGCAGCAACTGCAGGAACGTAGGACTGCAGGGTGTGTGGTGTGACGAACGAGGGGCATACCCTAGGTCTCCATAGTAGTTCCTTTTTCGGGTTCATATGTAGAATCCTATAAGGTAATCCCAAAAAGGAACTACTATGGAGCCTATGGGTAGACACACCGACTGAGGAGTGGACGTATTGTCACGGAGGGAGAGACTAGAACTTAGGCAAACCAAAACCTCGCGTTTCCAAGGCCATAGTTGTACGAATCCGTATACAAATCGCAAAATCGAAGGGGTGTTGGGATTTCTATATCCTTTGTGACATCCGTGTAGAAGTACAGAACCCTTGAAACCACGTAAGACCTCGATAAAACAGCATGGAACCCCGTAAACCATACCAAACCCATGTGCAGCCCTGGACACGTAAAGACCACGTGAAGAAACGGTATATCCTTCATGGCAGGATTCTTTGAGGACCCGGTAGACCAAGCGGATGTAGCCATCGGCGATGTCGCAATGCCCACCAAGCTTAGATTCCATGATCCTGCTCATGGGTGGCTATGGGCTTAAGGTAAAAGCCAGAAAGTTGGAATATGATTATCCTAACCCTTCTATGGTAAATTAGAGGGTATCCTACCATGAAACCATATTCCAACTTTCTGGAGTTTCCTATAGGTTCAGGGCGAGGTCTGCGGAGTTTAGGGTTGATGTCATGTCACAGGGTTTGCTAGGCGTCGATGTCAACAGCGCGCCCAACATGGTGTATGATTAGAAAATCAGAAAGGATTTTTTCTTGAATCAGCCAACGACGAAAATTTGCATCCGGGCGAAACCGATGTCGAAAGTCTTCGATTCGATCACGAATTACGTAGGCCAGCACATGTTCTCCAAGCGGAGCCCTAAACCCTATGAATCAAAACCTGTGGACACATATCCGCCAAAACACTACAACACCTAAACTGCGGACTCAGCCGCCCCTCATACGACTACACCGGGTTTCGGAAATAGGGTACCCTTAAAATTATACAGAAGCTCAAATACTAGCATCATTACTGCAAGGATCCTCAAAACGGGTAATCCCCAATGTAAAGTCCACAGACCCTGAACCCTAAACCCTCACCCAGGTAGAGGGTTTAAGGACCCATAAACCCTGAACCCTAATCTCTAAACCCCTCACCCTAAACCCTAAACCCCTATAGTCCCTTATGGTACCCTTAGAGGAACCGTTAAAGGAACCCTAAACCCTCACACACTCCAGGCCCTCCGGCACCTGAAGTGACGGCCGAAGAGCGGCAGGCTCGGCCTGTCTCCTATGGAGAACTCGAAGAGCGTGGGCGGGCGAACCTTCGCTAAGACTGGGACTCTTCAGAATTAGAATAGGGTTCCTTTACAAGAATCTTTCGGGTTCCTTTAAAAGGATCTATAGGGTTCCTTCGAAGGGTTCTAGAGTATGGATGCAAATAGATTCTCTTCAATATTTAAGGGTTTCTTTCGAAGGATTCCTAAATGTGTACTGTAAGGGCTACCAGAAGCAGGGGCCCCGAGAACTGGAGTAGGGGTTTCAAAGTTGTGCGCGAAGAAGATTACGAATTAGTCGGCCTTTGCGTCAAAGTATAACTAGTTTTCCAGGGAGTTCGCATTTTCGGCATTTTGTTGGGGGGATGGGTCCAATTAAGTTATATAGGGCTTTCAGGGATGGGCTTTCAAGTCCTTAAGGGGCACCCCAAGCCTGCACCGACCAGAAGATACCAATGACCAGAAGAGGCTAGTTCGGCGCAAAAAAACCCTAAACCCTACACCCAGAGTGCCCAATACTCCCTTTATTAAGGAATATGGCTTAAATTTTATAGGGCTTCATATTATGATTTAAGCTATATTCCTTAATTAAGGGGTATTGGGCTCTCTGGGTACTTATAGAGTTCAGGAGCCCTTCGGGACGATGTTGGTAGTTGATTCTTCATGGATCGGTAGAAAACCCAACAGTTTAGGGTGGCTGGGGGCCTAAACCTTCAAACCCCTTCCCAATCCCAAACAGGAACCCTTCTCGACGTGTCAGGATTCCATATTATAATTATAGTCTTTTGGAGGATCCGGGAGAGAACACCCCAATTTCGCGGGAGAGCTCCGGATCCCACCAAAACATAACTCTGGAAACAGTAAAAAAAACGAAACCCACAGACCCCAGTCCTTGCTTAGCGTGTGTTTAGGGTTGAGGGTTTAGCTTTGAAATAAAAACACTTACATAACTCTTTATGAAACCCGCGCCAAACCCACTTGACTCCGACGCCAATTGTAGGGTCCCTCCCGAAGCTACATATGAACCGAAGCAAACCACCCAACGTGTGGTTTGTGTAATTTTCAGGCACCGGCAGAATGAAACCCCGTAAGCCCTCCCAAATCCTAAACCCTAAACCCTAAACCCTGAAACAGCTGGGGCACGTTAGAGAGCTTGCGCTCTTTCGACAGTTTGAAGATCATGGTCTGCTCCTGGGTTCTTTTTAAGGGATTTAGGATTTTTGGGGTTTAGGGTTTAGGATACCAGAATAAAGAAACCATATCAATACTTTACACTAGATCGCTATTATGGTAACTTAAATCATGTGTTCCCTTAACCCCAAGACCCTTATAGAACCCTTAATGGAACCCTGAACTGATCCCTTACAGTAGAAGCCAGAAAGTTGGAATATCATTATCGTAACCCCTTTAAGGTAAATTATAGGGGATCCTACCATTAATCCATATTCCAACTTTCTGGCTTTTACTTCAAAAGGAGCCCAGGCTCCTCGGGAGGAAGAGTTTTTAGGTTCTGAGCCATGCTCCTGACCTTCGCCAAAGACTCCTTCGCCGCGTTGATCTCGAACCTGGGTTGGTGGGTTCGAGATCCTTATAAGTTCAAACCCAAGGGATCGTGTACAGGGCTCCTTAAAGGGGCCTAGACGGGTTCTGTAATGGGTTTAGGGTTTAGGGTTTCCGAAAGTAATTAAGGGCCTTAATATAATATGGTACCCTACATAGTAGGATCCTTATTCTAAGGACCCCCAAATAGGGTAACCCTAGTTTTCGGAACCCCCTTAAAAGTTTGAACCCTCTATAAACCCTACACCAGATCACAGGGCTTCGGATTCGGGGTTCAGGGCAGGAGGGTTTAGGGTTTAGGGTTTGGGGTTTAGGGTTAGGGCTGTAGGGTTTAGGGTTCAAAATTAGGGGTTTAGGTTGAGGGTTTAGGGTTTAGGGCAGGGGGATTAGGAGTCTTGGCATGCTCCTCCCACCGAAAGGCACAAGAAAAACTAAGCCTTGGAACCATGACGATCGCTCCCTCGTGTTGCTAGCCTCTGTACGACATCCAGACTCGAAGCGAGATTTGGCTCAAGCCTTCACCCGTTGCATCCCAAACCAGCGGCAATCAACCATTGCTTTGAGCCGTAAAGCCGACCTACTCAAGGGTTTAGGGCTTAGGGTTTACTCGTAGCCATTCCCAAGAATAAAAAACCGCAACAGTGCGCCCTAGAGCCCAACATACTTTCAGTCATGCAGAAGAATGGCGGATCTTGCATCGGAGATTTCAGCGCTTCTGTGAGAAGCTCTTTTCCTCCACGGGCAGGTGGATCTAAAGCGTGCACGAACATGAGGTTTTGCTGCCGGTTTGAGATTCGGAGGCTAGGCTCTCACAGCGGTGCTCGAAGAAGCGATAGCTGCAATGGGTTTTGATTCAAGTTCAGCTTAATTACCATCCAAGCCACAAAGCCTTTCAAAGCATACCTCTAGAACAGATCCTTCTACTCGCAGAACAAAAAACCTAAACCCCAAACCCCTAAACCCTAAACCTTAACCCTAAAACATAAGCCCCAAAGCACAAACAAAACTGCCCCGACCCTCAGTGGCAACTGCTTCCAGGGTTTCCAGGTTCTCAAAACCCATCTCCTCGGTTCAGGATTTAGGGGTTTGGGGGCTTAGGGGCTTAGGGTTTAGGGGTTTAGGGTTTAGGGCTTAGGGTTTAGGGGTTTAGGGGTTTAGGGTTTAGGCCCCGCCATCCCCCACAAGGGTAAGTGTAGGCAAGTGTAGGTAACTGTTGGGGTGCTTTTAAGGTTTAGGGCGCGACAAATATGAGTAATGTTGCGCTCGGCTTAGGGTTTAGGCATTCCGCGTTAGCTGGGACAAACAGGCTGAAACATAGATACTACCGAGCCCTTCGAAGGCTTCTTGGGAACCCGATAGAACCCTACAACAAGACTGTGATGGAGCTTGTTCTGGAAACACTCAACCCCTGAAATTAAAGCCTAAACAGAACCCTGTTTGAGGGTTATTTTGTACCCCCAACATGATAACCCCTTTAGAAGGACAAAAAGCCCTAAACCCTATTAGACCCCTTCGAGAAGGACAAAAAAGGTACACCCTAAACCCAAAACCCTAAACCGTGGGGGGCGTAGTGTCCACAAGCTGTGCCAGTGGTTCCCAGTGATAGAAGTTCATGCCAGATCCGAAGTTGAGCAGCTCCTTACCAAGGTTTAGGGTTTAGGGCTTAGGGTCCATGTATGCTACTATCATGGAATTGAGTGCCCACCACGATTAGAATTGTCTTTCCGAGCCTAATTCCATAATGGTAGTATTTTTGGACACTGTGGCTTCATTCAGGTGGTCTACACCGTTTTTGGTCTACACATTTTGGGTTTAGTGTCTACGCGGTGATGCAGGGGGCTTTCTTGCTCATTAGGGCTTTTAGCGTTACATTGGGTTCCATACGGGTCCTATCAGAGGTTTTGGGCTGTGGGACTGGGCTTCCTACTTTTCCGTTCTGCTGGTTCACGGTGTATCCCAGTGTAGCCTGTGTAATTCAACCTAAACCCCAAACCCTAAACCCCAACCTGTGACGCAGCATTGGCGGGGAGTGACTAGGATTATACAGGCTTTAAGTCTCTAAGTTGAACTTGTCCCGCCCGTCCAGTATGTTGCCGAAACGCTCAAAACATTACTTACATAGTATCGAGATTCGGCGTACCGCAGTTCCACAACATCATCCTCCGATATCGCCCTGGTCATCTTGATCCAATACATTGGATCGTCAGGCGGTGCCTGCTCTTTCAGCGTCCATTTCTTCTCCACGAATACATCGTCCTCACAAAACTCCTTCTGGATGGCTTGCATCGCGCGTGACCACTGCTTCTCGTCCGTGATCTGTCGATGCACATATATTCCAGCATGGTCCATTGCGGGCATCTTCACAAAACTTGCTTCCGGCTGATGATATAAACCCTGCATTACCTACAATAGGGAATATACCATAAATCCCATAGTTTAGGAACCCTAAACCGTAAAGCTTCTGACTGGCTATCTTCGAATTGGCTTTCCTGCGACACTCCCTGTAGGCTTCGCCTCATCTTCCTGTAAAGCTCCTAGCAAAACCTAAACCCCGTACCCTTGAGCCTGAAGCCCTAAACCCAAAGCGCTCAAGCCAAAACTCTGAACCCAAAACCTGTAAGTAAGCTCTTAAAGTAAAAGCCAGAAAGTTGGAATATGATTATCCTAACCCTTCTATGGTAAATTATAGGGTATCCTACCATGAAACCATATTCCAACTTTCTGGAGTTCCCTGTAAACCCTCATCCGCCAAACCCTAAACCCACACTTTATCGACTACAATCTCTCCTTGAACCACGAAACGTACCCGGGGATTCGGATTGCAAGATCCGTCAGTTACGGAACTTTTCTGCATTGTCCTGAGACTCCAAGTATACGCACAGTACCTACCTCGGGGTATAAATGTCTATAGATAATATCTACTTCGAGCTATTTGGAGTCTTAGGGGTAGAAGGTACTACAGATAGTAAGAGTATTCTCCAAGACAGCGCCGATCCCGATCGCAATAACAATACTAATCGTCAAAGCAATCATAATAGTGCAAAGGCAGTGGCACTGATAATAACAATGATGAGACCTTAATTTCATTAAGGGATAGTGCAGTCTCTGGTTAAGTAAGTAACCGTCAGGGTGTCTACTAAGATTCCCTTATAGATCCCTTTAAAGGAACCCTTATAGATCCCTTTAAAGGAACCCTTATGGATCCCTTTAAAGGAACCCTTATAGATCCCTTTGAAGGGAACCCTCATAGATCCCTTTAAAGACGCAAACTTTTACGTTTTAAAGGTCTCGGGGAGTTTCGGAGCTCGCCCATGGCATCTAAGGACCAGGGCGAGGGTTACAGGGCTTCCTTGCATAATATAGGGGGCCTTAAGAACTAGAATAGGGGTTTTGGGGTCCAGTATACTAGAATTATAATGAGGAAAGCCCAAACTCGTATAGGTGATTATTAAGTCACCTATACTACCTCAAAACCTGCAGCACCCTTGTCTTTTGAGAAAAAATAGACAGAGCCCCATACCTATATTCCTTAGTAGGAATTATCCAAGAAGGTCTACTAGCTGAAAAAGGACAAGGCTGCTCGACGGTCTCTGTCCCGCTCTTCCTTCACAACGCCCTAGCTTTTATCCCAATGCGCATCTCGTGCCGAGTCGGACCATGGGTCTGCCACATGTTCGCCCAAGGCCTGCAGCAAAGAAGCCCTTGCCAAGAAGGACCCTTCGCCGGCTCTAGACAACTTTGTACAAAGATCGGATTTCGCCGCAGGCTTCGGAAACTTTTGAACCTAGTCATCGGTTCCTTTTCTATCATGGAGCCCAAAAGAGGGGCCATGCATCTGGAACCTCAGCCGCATAGTTCCCGCCTACTCGGGGTTGCGCCGGGTGCAAACAGAGGAAGTTCAAACCAACGGACTGCGTGAAGGAACTGAAACAGAAATTGCAATAACAAGGATGCTCGTGTGCCTCGCCCGCATCAAGCACCATGACGGCATAATGGTGACAACACCAGTCGTTACCTGTTGTTTTCCGACAGCGACAACGACAACGGCAACCACCACCACCACCGCCGCCGCCACCACCACCACCACGACCGCGACTACGACCTAGACTTCTACTACTACTACTACTACCACTACTACTACTACTACTACTACTACTACTACTACTACTACTACTACTACTACTACTACTACTACTACTACTACTACTACTACTACTACTACTACTACTACTACTACTACTACTACTACTACTACTACTACTACTACTACTACTACTACTACTACTACTACTACTACTACTACTACTACTACTACTACTACTACTATTATTACTACTACTACTACTACTACTACTACTACTACTACTACTACTACTACTACTACTACTACTACTACTACTACTACTACTACTACTACTACTACTACTACTACTACTACTACTACTACTACTACTACTACTACTACCTACTACTACTACTACTACTACTACTACTACTACTACTACTACTACTACTACTACTACTACTACTACTACTACACTACTACTACTACTACTACTACTACTACTACTACTACTACTACTACTACTACTACTACTACTACTACTACTACTACTACTATACGACTACTACTACTACTACTACTACTACTACTACTACTACTACTACTACTACTACTACTACTACTACTACTACTACTACTACTACTACTTACTACTACTGCTGCTACTACTACTACTACTACTACTACTACTACTACTAGTACTACGACGACTACTGCTACTGCTACTGCTACTGCTACTGTTACTGCTACCTGCCACTGCCACTGCTACAGTACTGCTACTGCTGCTACTGCTACCGCTACTGCTACTGCGCAGCTTGATCGATGTTTCACCTGTCTGGCCCAGGCATTGAAATCAAAATTGGATCCCCTCAGGCCCTCAGGCCCTCTCCAGGGAGATGCGAGCGAAGAGTGCTTAAGCCAATTTAGAGTCATGCTTCTCTTGTGAGAAGCTATGGACTCTTGTGCATATATACAGAAAGACGACCTGTAACAAATGACGATCATAAAGCCGTCCCTAAACTCCATTTCTACACCATCCTACTAGCCTCAACCTCATGGGCATCGAAGCTCTGTGCTGCAAATGCCAAACCGAGTCGGGGAGTCGGGTCGCATGACCACTTGGGAGGTACAAGTAGTAGACATCGTGTAATTGCACTGAGGAGCTCTATGGAACAACAGTTCCAAGGGTTGAGGTTCTCATATTGTGCTTTAGACGTTGGCACTAGGGTTTGGCGAATTCGACCTTCTTTGCATCCCTGCGCGTTGCAACCTTGCAATGTGCAGGCCTACGTCAAGGCCCGACACCCTGCTGACGTCCAACCCCTGAACACTACATCCCATACCCTAAACCACGCCTCCTCCAACGAAAAGAGAACCTGGTGTTATGATTGCGGCTCCAAAGAAGGCTTGAAACCCGCACCTACAGAACTAGAATGTACTATACTGCAACCACCTATGGGAGGATAGTCTCCAATAGTCATTCAGACCCCTGTGTTAATCAAGGTTCCCCAGCGGCCCCGTAACAATAAGGCTAGCCTTCTTCCTAATGTTTGACTTTATACTAAACGAGCCCAACAAGAACAACAAAAAAACAAGTGTACAACTGGGGAACCTAGAAAAGGACCCTACGAAGCGACCATACTTTAGAGAACTACCCTTGTAGTACCCTTTTAGAAACCTATAAAAACCACGAAAGATCCCTGAAAGAAGCCCATAGAAACCCTTATGATACCCTTACAGAACCTATAGAAGCCCTTATACTACCCTTATAGAAACCCTTATACTACCCCTTATAGAAACCGAAAGAGCACCCTTTCTGGATCTCTAACAGGAACCTACAGAAACCCTTGCAGATCCCTAAACCTCTAGACCCCAAGCCTTAAACCCCTAGCGGGAGGAGTCGTCAGGGTCCATCTCTCCGAAGCGCTGCAGTCTCTGCTCGCTTTGGCCTGGTCAGCGTTTTGGACTCGTGGCTTTCCACTAAGCCTGAACCCTAAACTCTAAACCTTATCAATACTAAAAATCCTGGAAAACCTGCGAACCCTAAACTTTAGCCTCAAAATCCCTATATACCCCTAAAACCGAAACGAAGCCTCGATAGACTGACAAGCCAATCTTCAATATAGGGTGCAACTTGCATGCATACATACATACGTGCGAACCTACATATTTGCATACAGGCATGCATGCATGCAAGCACATCTACGTAGAGTATTGAAGCAGACAGATGGATAGGTGGGTAGGTAGGTAGATAGATGTACACATATACACGTGTACTATCATGTCAATGTGGAAAGAAAACGGTACGTTGGGGCCAAAGTGTATACTACTGTTGATGATATAAATCCTGCATCACCTTAAGGATCCTAGACTATGGGAACAAGACTAAAATTATGGTATATTCCTGATTATGGGTAATGCAGGATTTATCTCATCAGCCGTATACTCAACTATTATGAGGACTTCGTCAGGGTTGGAGGTCCCTAAACTCTAAACCCTAACCCCTAAGGGTTTGAGGGTGCGCGGGTTAGGGTTCCTACGAAAGCTCAAAAGCAGCCCTTCGAGCTTTCACGGGGGAAAGCCAGAGACTCGCATGCCCTTAGGCCCTACTTGGAGGTTCATGGGTAGATATGAATAGGGTTATAAGTCCCCTGATATGAGCTATAAGTATAGTTAACCCTACTTATAACTACCCATGAGCCTCCAAGTAAGGGTCCAAGTACCTAATTATCAGCATTATACTCCCCAAACAGTAATCAACCTACACAACTACTCTATACTGAACTTAGAATCCTAGCAACAATTATAATTTTAGCTGTCTCTTAGGGATTATAATAACAAGAAATTAAAAAATACTTCTAAGTACCCCTAAGTACTACCTAGAGGAACCTTAGGGATGATACATCGGAAGCCCACGACAGAGTCGTGATCTCAGCATATTAGCCGCGAGCCACTGAGGCCCCAGAACCCTGTAACCCTGCACACTACTCCTGAAGCTCTAAGGACTCATCTGTTAAGGATTTTGGGCCCAAAGACCACGCTATGTCAGGCTTTTGGGCTGTTTTGACCCGTAGGGTACAAGATCTACAATCTACAACCCCACACCGTTTAAGCAGCAGCCTGCATCACGAGGATATGCTTTGTACCTTGTGGCAGCAGGAAACGACCGAAAGAAGCGTGGATCCCGCATTGATTCTAGAAGCTGGGGCCGTTCACCGGGCGACGAAGATAGCTTCCCCTTTCCTGAACATTCCGATTCCTACGGTGCATTGCCGCGAAAGATTCTGATTCGAAA